GTTCGAATTTGTTCGAATTTAATTCGAACATAAAATTCGAATATTGGTTCGATTATAGAACGATCGTAAACGTTCCAGAAACGTTGAAAATAGTTCGTTTGACTTGACGTGAACAGGAGACGTTCAGAAATAGAATCGGGACCAGGTCTCTAATTACTCTGGAAACGGGGGACCTAATTCTTGCATTCTGTGAAAACGGGTAAGATTGGCTATAATGTAATTATCTTAATCTTCACTATCGTTACTTTTTAAAAACCCAGCGAAGCGGATCCTTGCAGCTAGATTCTAGATTACTTAGAAAAACAGTCTTTTATATATACAAAACAACTATATTACATACAAATGTACGAACAAATAAAAACCCAGAGAAGCGGGTCCTTGCAGCTAGTTTTAAATAAAAATTCAATGGTATGAATTTATAATAAAAAGGTTTATTTAGGAAAAAAAACATGTAATATAAATTAACAATCAAGTAGTACAAAGAGTGTAAATAAAAATGTACAGTACCAGTACGAAGTTAAAAACTGTTAATTGGAGGCATTTTTAATGCTATTACAAAAATGAGTTATTGCACAATCAAACAAAGATTTTATCCTGTAAAAACCAAACATAAGTAACATCCACTACACTGAAATCACAAGAAAGTTTTTTTCTTTATTTTTAATTTTGCAAACTATTTTATTAACTCTTTTAAGTTTGCTTAATCGGCAATTTCGAGCTCAATTCAAAAGTTCTTGCCTTTTAAGATTTGGCAAAATATTTTACTGTTGAATACGCTGCTAGGAGTTCGCGGTCGTACCGGTACGTACTATATTTTACCTGTGGTATGGTTAGGGCTTCAGAGAAGAAGCCCAGAGGTTCGAAAACAGAATTATATTTTTGTTGAAGAGCTGCTTCTGTTGCGAAGTCTTACTCATCCACGATAAGTATCATTAGAAGGACCGAAGAATGATAAGCGTAAAGGGTATTTCACGTTATCCTAAAGACATTTATAAAGATACCGACAACGCAACACATTTGGAAGAATAGGTAACTCCCAATCTGTTCCTAGAAATAAGAATCGGTCAATATGAATTGAAATGTGTCTTGTGTAAATTGAAGTTCTATGACGAAGTTTCTCTGTAAGAATACACGAAAAAATATTGTTAACGAACAGTTTCTTTAATGTTGAAAGTATTTAAATACTACTTCATTTACGATTATGTTTGTTGAGTTCTTTCGATTTTGCTCTGTTGCACAAATTAAAAGAATTTAAACAAGATTTTCTCATTTTGATTTTGTTGATTTTAATTAAATGATTGAAATTGATTTCATATAAAATCATTTATTTTTTATTTTTAAAATATTACGTACATAAATTAATTTATAAACAAAACCTTGGTTGGAATAACTTTAAATAGAACGTCTACAGTAATTAAAAACAATAAAACAAAAACTCGTTTGCTACTTGAAGAGAGTAAAACGCCAAAATGCGTAAAATATGATTTTAAAAATACTTTATTATACATTTGAAAACATGGGGAACAATATGAATGTGAATATGACAGAGAAAATATCTGAAATCAGCAAAAAGTCACTTGAGAAAACAGGAATAAAATACAAATATATCTCTGTGTTTCCAACTAGTCATGTGTTTAAATCATGCGCATTTAATTACTCTCGGACAACAATAAAATTCTATAACATTATTTCAGTGCATTGTTGTTTTATATTCAATTGAAAAACTAAATTAGATTATTTATTATTAAAATTAAATTAATTAAAATCGGAAATGGTAAGAAAAACGTTTATTTTGTGAAACAATTTTAATTTGGCAATGTTTTTCAAAAATTATCGACAGAACATCTTCAATCTTAATCACGTATCGTGTCTAGAGTACATATTATAGATTTTATCATATTTTAATATTTAATAATCATTTATATCATTATAAATAATTTAGATTTAAATTTTTACGTAACGGAAATTTTTAAAAGGAAAGAAAACATCAATGCCCGAATTGCGGTAAAACAGTTTCGACAAAACATAATTTACAGAGACACATGCGGATTCACAAAATTGAAAAACCGTTTAAATGCGAATTCTGCGGAAGACGTTTTACATGGAAGAGCAATTTAACGCGGCATCTAAAATTGCATTCGAAGGAAAAGCCTTTCAAGTGTAATTACAAAGACTGTGGATGGAGCTTTAAACAGGAAGATGAGTTAGAACGACACCAGTTCGGACGGCATCGCAAAGAGATTTTATCTAAAGTAAACATTACGATAAGTTTCTATATTTTTATTTTAATATTTCGATTCCCAAAGCGATCAGTTATAAAAAAAACAAACACAATAAAATTTAATAGGAATATATAAAACATTTAATTTATTTTGTAAACAATATTCAATGCAACTGTGCTAATTTACAGAAACAAATATTAAAATAATATTAATATGTGACTGAAATTATTATTTTTATTCTTTGCGAACTTCCAATATAAAACAGTTTTCCTTATTCACTCTGTGCCAACTTATCATTTAAAAACATTTTTTAAATATTTGTTTTGTTAATGGAGTTATTAAGTTAGTAAATGTTTTTTTTGTTGTTGTTGTTGTTAAAATGACGAACTATATTATCTTCTTAAGGTTAAATTCAGATCACAGTCGAATAATTTACTACAGTTTAACATGAACAAAATATCTGACTTTTAATTTATATATTACGCAATTAAACGAATCGTTGAAATAATTATTTCATAAATTATTATGTAATTAGATATCACCAGATGACCCGAAAATCACAAGCCGTAAATGTCATATTTGCGGAATACTTTTTTCAACTCCTGACGCTTTAAGATGTCACTTGAGAACTCACACCGGAGAGCAGCCATATGCATGTAAGATTTGCAACGAAAAATTCAGATTCAGCCCTCAATTAATAAGACATCAGAAAAAGTTTCATCCGAAAGCGGAAACACAAACTTGCTTAGAGGTAAGTTTACAAATATTTTTTAGGAAACAATTTTAAACATATATTATTGGTATATAACTATAATTATATGATTAATGTTAATCTGAGCTTATTATGTGAAATCAATTCCGAGTAAGAAAGAATTCATTGAATTTATTTTGACAGTGAAAAAATATAATCAGAGAAAAGTCGCCGAAATTACAACAGGTAGCATCCTGACTGCTGTGTGATTGTAAGAGTTTGAATGCAATCTGTTATACACTTTCGAAATTTCACGATTATTTCGTGTCTCTGTCGTCAAAATTACTTCAGTGAATTTTCTTATTCAGCGACATTCCTTTGTTTGTAATAGATTAAACAATATTAATAATTAAAATGATATTTTTAGACTAAAATCTTGTAACAACCGGGAAAGTTACGCATTTTGTTGCAAGATTCTTTTTAAAACTATTGTATTTCCATACTTTGAAATTTTATCGATTTTGTTCCCCACATTTTTTATATTAAAATTACTTATTGAAACTTGATTCTCTTTTCCCGTTTCCTCATATTTACGACTTGCCGTGTCCAGTTTGATTTCTATAAATTCTGGTCGCCTGCACACGTCTCGCACTCACGACCTACACCACTCTATTTGATTTCTTCTCGATCTACTTATATTACAATTATAGTTAGATTTATTAAATTGCATTGAAATTGTTAACATTTTGAAATTCATTAAAATTTTAAGATGTTTATATTTCTTCTGTTGATATTTAGCCTATATTATTCATAGAAAACACTATTAAATATTTTCAAATCCCTTGCACATGATTTTGCTGTGAGGAGCGCAATCATAATGCTTTCGTTCGTTGCACTAGATCAGTGTTTTTCAACCGGGGTTCCGCGGCACCTTAGGGTGCCACGGCACCACGATAGGGGTATCGAAAAGTTTAGAGCCTTTAGACATTTTCTAGGAAATTTACTTAAGTGTAGTTCAAGATAACTCATTGTCAGTTCTATTTTACTACGAGATATCTAGTAAGCAAAGAAACTATGACTAATCGCATGTTAATGTAATGTTCTACGCTACGTGTACGCACGACTTGTCACGAGTTCGCCCAAATTACATTGCTTGGCCTTCATGTTCCCAGTCCTAGTACCAGGCCAACCACCAGAGAAGAACGACGTGGACACTGGTGTCTTGTATATGCTCTAAAAAGCGTTGCATTGTACTTTGAAAAGTGTGTGGTTTCAATCACAAAGTAGATGCATATTACAGTATTTTCATAGTATTCAAAAGCAATGATGAAAAATAAACAATTTTTTGGCCATTTATAGTTGAAACAGTATAAGATATAAGCAAATTTAGCCTACATTTTCTTAATTTCTGATATTTATAAACGAAATTAGAAGATTTTATTATTATTTTACACAAATAAATCTAATTATTTTAAATAGTTAAACCAATTGTTAGAATAGATTAATGATTCTAGAACCGATATAATACGTCAATTTTCCTAAATTGCTGTCTCAACAAATTCGAAAAAGAGATAATTCTGTATAAACTCTCATATATTTACATGTAAACAATTTACAGTTTATTTATTTTAAAAATATTTTAAAAATTGGAATTTTTGATAAATTTCAATTAATGCTTTATTACCAAATATCAAATTTAGTGTTTGTCTCTCTACTTATAAGAGCAACGAAGATGCTTATTTTGTATAAGTTTTATCTTTAAAATAGGTATAATTCTTTGTATTATGTTTACTAATCAATAAAAATAGTAACCCAAAAGTCAGTTAACCATTATAAAGCCTAAATTCACTTACTTCATTATTTAAAAACTGCAAAACTTAGTTAAAAATGCAATCCTTCTTCTTGCCCAATACATAAAGCTACACTTTCAAAAAATTGCTTAGCATAAACGCGCATCAAAACAAATCACGGTTAACTGACTTTTGGGCCACCTTATATCGATATGTGTAACAAAGTCTTGAGTATATTTTAATTTTCTTAGCTTAATGTTGCATTAAGCAATTAGAATAAGAAATGTTTACACATAAAATGCATTATTTGTTTACTTAATATATATATATATATATATATATTAAGTAAACAAATAATGCATTTTATGTGTAAACATTTCTTATTCTAATTGCTTAATGCAACATTAAGCTAAGAAAATTAAAATATACTCAAGACTTTGTTACACATATCGATATAAGGTGGCCCAAAAGTCAGTTAACCGTGATTTGTTTTGATGCGCGTTTATGCTAAGCAATTTTTTGAAAGTGTAGCTTTATGTATTGGGCAAGAAGAAGGATTGCATTTTTAACTAAGTTTTGCAGTTTTTAAATAATGAAGTAAGTGAATTTAGGCTTTATAATGGTTAACTGACTTTTGGGTTACTATTTTTATTGATTAGTAAACATAATACAAAGAATTATACCTATTTTAAAGATAAAACTTATACAAAATAAGCATCTTCGTTGCTCTTATAAGTAGAGAGACAAACACTAAATTTGATATTTGGTAATAAAGCATTAATTGAAATTTATCAAAAATCCAAAAAGAACATAACGTTAGAATTATATAAATATATTTTTTATGTATGAATTTTTAAAATTATTATCAATATTATTATTTTCCCAATAAATCAATATTGTTGATAGAGGCTTTAACTTTTATTCTAACCGTTCGATGCTGTAATTTAGGAAAATTCGTGAGTTGTAAGGGCTTAACAATCGATATATTTCACCTGAAGATTGACTGTAGAATCTTTAATAGATCCTTGTTGCAATCTCGTTAAGTGAACTCCAACGACTGATATAAAACGGTCAATTGGATAACAACTCTTCCATGCTGCCTTTCTGAATTTATCATTATCGACTAAATAATAGTGAAGAATTTATGTTTGTCGAGTTTATTATTAACAACATCTTTTCTTGAGTTTGTTGGATCTCTTCTTCTTTTTCTGGTGAAGATCAGTTTAGTAAGTGGATACTTCGCCTTAAAAAATAACTCTTTAAACGACTTTCTATAGCCTACGCCTTGAGAAAAAACGGGCTCTTATGCTAATTTTGGCTAAATGTAAAATAAAAAAGAATAAATTATAAAGAGAGAAAAATCTATATTTAGTAAAGACTAATAACCCAAATTTTGTTAATTACTTGTGTTAAAAGGTAGAGGAATCAAAGAAAGAATGAAACGTTTACATTATAACCTAGTCTACATACATGCATATACTATGTATACTGTATATTTTTTCACATCAANTTTTTTTTCTTATTCTTAAGAAACTAATCTTATAAAAAAGTATCTCTTATAGCCTCTAACTATCATTTGTTAAAAAACCACAGGTAATATAATCACTTTTATTTTTAAGACTCAGGAACATTTTAACGCAATTACGTACTTCAGTCTTGAGAGTGATCACATAGTATTTTTGTAGTACTATGCAATTTGCAAATAAATTTCAAACAACTGTTGCACTTAGTAGCATATTTACCATCTTTTCTTCCAGCACAAAATGACAACATACTCTTTTCAGGAGATTTCGGCTTTATCTAGCAATTTGTATAATATTATCATCTATTAGCAGTTCAAATGATTCTTAGTAGCATATTTACATTTTGAATATTTGATGCAAGATTGAGATATCTTTGCAAAATAATTGTAAAAATAAAAAAAACATAAAAACACATTTTTACAAAAACCCAATGTAACTGGATCGTGGGGGCTACGCGGCCCCCAGAAGATACGTAGCTCCATCCTTGTAAGTGCTACAGGGCCGAACATTTGGCACTCGCTAAGAGTTGCGACGTAATGAGATTACATAAAATTGCAGCTGCGCACGATATTTAGATTTTTAGAAAATCGTAAAAATATGACGCGTGGGGGCCGCGCGGCCCCCATAAAACCAGTTAAGGGTTTATTTTGTTTCGTATACGTTGACCATTCGCTACCATTTTTCTTTTTCATGTTTTCTTCTCTCATAGGAATATAAATACAGTGGTACCTCGGGTAACGAACGCCCCAGCATACGAAATTTTCAGGATACGACATGAAATTCGAACATATTTTTGCTCCACGATACGAACAAAAACTCACCATACGACGTTACATTAGTTCGCATTTTTCATTTGTTTTTCTTACTACAGTTATTTTTTT